AGCTCCGTTTCTCCCCTCTCCTCTTCTGCTCTCTCTCCTCAGACCCGGCCAACCAACACCTCCGATCTCCAACATGAGCAACACCGTCGACTCCAAGTCGCCCAGCGGCGATCCCGCCAAGATTGAGGCTTATGCCGACGAGATCAACCATGGCGCCGATCTCGACGAGAAGTCGAAGCCCGCGGACTACAAGTCGGACGCCATTGAGGCCGAGCAGGCGGAGTTCAACATGGGAGTGTTGGAGGCCGTGAAGCTCTACCCAATGGCCTCCATGTGGGCTTTCATCATGTCCACGACCATTGTAAGCTACCCGGTCTTCTATCCACGCGCCCGCTTTGGAGAGCTGCAGCTGACGATTACGGATAGATCATGGAGTCGTACTGCGTCTTCCTCATGGGTGCTTTCGTCGCCATGGACGAGTTCAAGAATACCTTCGGTGTCGAAGACAAGGATGGTGTCATGCAGATCGAGGCCTCGTGGCAATCTGCGCTCCAGATGGGCGGTCCTCTTGGTGCCATCATTGGTGTCTGCATCGCCGGTCCCATCACCAGCAAAATCGGATACCGTTGGGCCACAATCACTGGTCTCATGTTCTTGAACGCCTTCATCTTTGTTTTCTACTTCGCCAACTCGCTCGCGGTCATGTTCGTCAGCCAGCTTCTGGAGGGTATCCCCTGGGGCATTTTCATCGCCAACGCACCTGCATACTGCAGTGAGATCGTTCCCATGAGACTCAGAGCCCCTGCGACCCAGATGCTGCAGATGTTCTGGGCTATCGGTGCCATTATCGTGGGTGGTGTTTGCTACGTGTATGAGAGCAAGCTCGATCCCAGTGCCTACAGGTTTGTGATTCTTTTACCCTCGTCATTTAATTCATCTTTGCTGACCAGAAAATAATCCAGGGTCCCGATTGCGCTTCAATGGATGTTCCCCACCCCTCTCGCTATCCTCCTTTTCATCGCCCCGGAGTCACCTTGGTGGTTGGTCCGTAAGGGACGCCTCGAGGAAGCTGCGAAGTCAGTCCGACGACTTGGTCGTGCTTCGGGCACTAATGCCGAAGAATCCATTGCCATGATGCGCCGCACTATTGACCTCGAGAAGACCGTCAAGGACCCTACCTATCTGGAGCTGTTCCGAGGCGTTGACACATACCGCACCCTCATTGTTTGTGGTGTCTATGCGGCGCAGAACCTTACGGGTAACCTTATTGCCAACCAAGCCGTTTACTTCTTCAGACGTGAGTTACTTTGAATGTCTTTAACGATGAAAATTTATACTGACGTGTGAACAGAGGCCGGTATCGGCTCTCAACTTGCCTTCGCTCTGGGTCTTATCACTTCCGCTCTGCAAACCATTTTCGTCATGCTTTCCTGGATTCTGACGACTTACCTCGGCCGCCGAACTATCTACGTCTGGGGCTCTTTGATCAATGTCGTCTTCCTGGTTGCGCTTGGTATTGCCGGATCCTTTGAGCGCTCTGATGCGTCATCTTTGGCGATGGCCTCTCTCGGTCTCATCGTGTCTGTCGGTTTCACACTGGGTCCTGCTCCCGCCTCCTGGGTCATCATCGCGGAGACATCGGCTATTCGCCTCCGTCCCTTGACGACCGGTATTGGACGTGCCGCTTACTATGTTGTGAACATTCCTTGCATCTTCCTCTCAACTTACATGCTTAACACGACCGTAAGCTTACTCCCTCCTCTTCCCGAAGTACCGCAGCGTACTGATGATAAAAATAGGGTGTCGACTTGGGCGGCAGGTGCGGTTACGTCTGGGGTGCCACCGGTTTCGTCTGTTTCGTCCTTGCATACTTCTATGTCCCTGAGATGAAGGGACGCTCCGTTCGCGAGATCGACATCATGTTCAAGCGCAAGATCCCTGCCCGCCAGTGGAAGAAGACCGTCATCGACATCAACGATGACGAGTAGACGGTCTGCAGCTTTCATTCTTGGGTTATGCTCTTGGCCAAAATAATCCACCCGCTTGATTGATGAGTAGCGCACGGGGTGCCTCCAGCTGGAGATGGAGGAGAAAGATGAGCAAAGGAGAAAGATGGGATTTGTTAGAGTGCATAGCCATAATACAAACAAGGCCCCGCGATATGCCATACCTCAGATGCACTACAACTACCGAGTGTTTGTTCCACGCGGCATCGGCAAAGTGCCCCGTGAAAGAGAGCTTGCCCCAGATACTGAATCGATTTTTATTCGACATCCTCACGATTCGTAAGGCCGTTTTACTTGTTTACAAGGCTAAGCAATACTCATACCTCCAAGGAGTGTATTATGCTCTTCTGGTATGAGCAGGTACCTAGTTCTACTTCCACTTTTAACGAAGTTGTTAGTAAGGGCGGACCCATGCCTGGGCGCGGCACGTCAGACAACTCACGCGCATACCTCGCCAGCAATCAGAACAATACTTCAAGAGCTGTGTTATCATCTTACATCGTGCGACGTGAGCGGCGCGGATAAGTCCATCTCATCTCAAGCTCATAGTGTCCTAGGGTTGCCGGAACCGGACACCAAGTGGGACGACTATTGACGCAGCAAATACACGCGGGCTAATCAAGTTCACCTTATTTCGCTTGTTTGTTTTACATCCCCTGGTCAAGAGGCCAAGTCTCTGGCTTGCTTTGAGACAGGTCGATGGACTTGAAGCACTGGAGCTTGGAACAATGCCCCTTTCAAGGTGTTTGTTGGAATTCTTCGTTCTCGTTTATCATTCTTCATCGTAAAACACAAAAGCTCTAACCTCGATACTGACTCTCGGTTCTCCCTCCCCTTCAGGAAGCTCAGTGTCCTTGAATGCGCAGTGAGGAACTCTCCTAGGAACCCCAGGTTTCTTGCTCGAGTCAACTTGCTTGAAGAAGAGCACGTCATCGGTCTGTTGCTTGTCCTTGAAGTACCACTTGTGAGGAGAGTCCGTCGGCGGCCGCACCTCAACAGCCTCCGTATCGTGATCCGGGAAGCGCACGGGCACGAAGACCAGGTCTGAGTCGGGGATGGACCGCGCGTCAGAGACCGCGAAAGGATCCCGAGTGATGGGACGAATTGGGCGCCACATCTGCCTCCTGTTAGTCTAAGATAGGCAAGCCGGTTTAGGATTGGTCTTACGTTGATGATTTGGTAACGCGGCTTCTTGAGAAGGTCTGCGGCTCTGTCGCCAAGCCATCTTTGGGCGACTCCCTCAGCGGCATTAAACGACTGGTCGACATGGACACCGTACAGCGGTGCCGGGCCCTTGGGACCCTCGTTATCCTTGGGACCGCGGCGGATGATGTGCGTCAAGATGTGCACCTCGGAGGGTTTGGGGCTAGATGTGTGAGCCGAAAGCTTACTACATGCAACAGGGTCAGGCAAAGGAGCTTGGCTTACAGGTTGTCGGTCTCCTGCAGCACTTGCCAGCATAGCTTCTCCATCTCAGGATAGTTCACCCGCTTGATCTCCTCATCGTCATCCCAGTTGGTTACCTGACTTTCGTGCTTCACATAGTGAAAGCCTTGGATATCAAGCGTGAACTCGTCCTCCTTCCCGGTGACGTCGGTGATGGTTGTAGGGATGGCGACCTTGGGCTGGGGCTTTCCAGGAGTCGGACTTATCGTGCCGAGTTAGCCTCAATAAAGTTTCATTGGGCATTTGCTGTCTTACCCTCCAATGACCATGGGCACCAAAGGCACCCCAGGGTCATCAAAGTAGTTGATGGTCGTTTGCACTTGTCGTCCCGGCGCCATTTTGCAGTAAGGAATGCTTTTCTAAAGAAAAAAAAAGGATAGCGCTGGCAAACAGAATGCGACTTCGCGGAGAAGAGGGCGACCGTTCAGTTATGAAATGGGCGCGCCTTTGATAGGGGCCCATGTGTTATCGGTTGTCTCCATCGCGAGTCAGGGCTTGGCAGCGACTGCGCACAACGACATGGCTACCCCGGCTGAACTAAGCTGAACATGTATCGATCTCCATATCAACGCGGGGAGTAATGAGGGGTCCGACTCACTGACCTAAACGCCCAGTCGCGATTTTTGCATGCCCAATCACCTCAGTATGGCTTGGGTTGGGTGAATACTCACGGATTCCCACTCACGATCTACCTGCCTCTCATTTCGATCCAAGTATAAGTCCTAGCTCATCATATCAGGTGGTCAGTGTCAAAAAGCTTGTGTCTCCAGCTTTCATCGAGTGCCGACATTGCATGCTGAGCGGGCCGCTGTATGGCAAGTGGATCTAGCTGATTGTGGAAGGCCTTCATGAGTCGCGAGCGCTTCTTCTCGTTACGTGAATGTATTCTGCTCGTCTTATCTTTACGATCAGCATGCAGTTCATCTGTTTACATGTGAGCCGGCAAGCTGATCCCTGTGAGGTGCCATTGCCTTGGATCTCGCGGTCACCGCTTGTTTTTAGTCCCTGTCGATTGATTGGATCGATTTGATTATCATCAAGCTTCAAGCCCAGCGGATTCTAATCTCGGGGATTCTTCTTACTCAGTACGCTTCCCCGGTGGGATAGATCACGTTCCCCAGAATCGGAATAACCAGCGGGTTTACGTAAGTCACTGAACTACGTGACATAACCACATGGAGTTAAAAGAAACAGACTGCAGCCGTTGTAATGGTGACTGGCGGTTCGGGCTTCTCGCTGTAAGAAGCAGTGCGCCCTTTCATAAGTGTGTTCAGCGCCGATTGTATTTAGCGACATCGTCGGGTAAAAGAATCGCGTCAAGTACCGTCGATCGACTTCTGAACAACACGTTGGGTTTTCACAACCGCATTTGCGCGGATTACAAACTCGAAAACATTTTATCAGGCATATCAATAAGGACTAATATCTCAATTCCTCCAAACGATGCAATCTTCGAGAATGAATTGAGCCGCTCTTTTTCGACTTGCAAAGGCTAAAAGGTGAAGAAGAGATGAACGAAAGCTATGCGGAAAGAAGAAGCAAAGCATTTATTGACAGACCACTTAAATACGGCGCTTCTCTTGTAAATCAGTCTTGAACCACCTGTCCTCAATCATCTATATCTGCATATAGCTCCCATACCATGCATAGGCTAGGGCGACTTCCTCCCGCGGGAAGAGACAGACGGTTGGGGCCTTTCCCAACCCATTCACCTTGTATTATGTTAGTAGACTGTGAGTATCAATGGAGGTTGGGTAATGAGGCCTCAACTCACAATCTTTGATCAGATGACCAAACTCCTTCTCGCAGACGGAAACGTCCTCTCGGAGCCTTTTCAAGGCTTTATTGAGGTCCGAGCCTTCGCCTTGCGGTTCATTCTGTTTGTGCGACTGAATGCTGACCTTGATGACGAACTCGAAATCTTCTCTCCACACCTGTTGGTCATATTCGCTATAAAATATGACGTCCTTGTTGAAGGTGGTCCTGCTGTTCTCAGCGAACCATTCGTCGCTCCACTCGTTTTCGAACGCGACTTCGCAGAACTTTTCAACAATCTCTTTGGCCCTGTCTTTCTCGAATCTCCCACCTTTCTCATTGCAGGACCCAGTCCACTGAACTGGAGGTGCCGAGGTTGTTTTTGCAGGTGGAGTAGGCGCTGGAGATTTGCTCAGACTCTTGGGGAGACAACCGCATAGGAACGGTTTGCTGTCCTTGGTCGGATCTATGCCTGGCATCACAATCAATGTACATTTCTTGGCTGTGTATCCTTCGCACTCAGGACAGTCTTGATCCATTAGGCATCTGAACTTCTCAGGAATTGGTGTCGTTGTTTTCTTGGGAGTGGATGAGGATGTTGTTGACGTTGTCGACGAGGGCTTGCTTGTCACCATCTGGGATGTTGTTTTGATCGATATCACAGACGAAGAAGTGCCGTTCAACAAGGCTGTGCCGAGCCGTGGTACTGTGATCGTGTTTTATATCATGGTGGAAAATGCAGTACTATTCATCGGGGGTGTACTGGACCGTGTTGTAGATGTCGCATTTGATTTGATCGAAGAAAACAGAGTGCTGCTGATCGAGAGTGTGCTGGAACGCGGTGTTGACGTTGTGTTCGATTTTATCGTTGAAAGTGAGCTGAAGCTTGTTGAGAGCAGTCTTGTCATCGGGATTGACGTGTTGGCTGGCAAAGTAAATGACCAAGTACCGTTCGGCGACAACCGTGAACTTGACGGAAAAGGTGTCACAGATCTCCCTTGTACACTTCTGGACGTGGTTGTCATTATAGAAGCGTTGGACGAAGGCATGATCGTCGGCATGGAGCAGACTTGTCTCTTTTGAGCCGCTCCCCCCTCAGCTGGCGGGTCTGCGCCTTGCCAGCGTTGACCCTCTTCTGGCAGCCATTCCCCCGTCGAAACCTGTCCATAGACATCCGCAAATACTCTCCACTTCGCTGTAAGACCTTGGCAGGCGGATCTCGAGGGTTGATATTGGAGAATCACCTTGCCTCGATGAACCCTACAGACATCGTCCATTAGGGTCTTGATGACAGGAACAAGAAACCGATCGGACATTGCCACATCATCAGGAAGACCCATCCACCAATCGTAGTCCGCGAGTGTAAGCGTTGGTCTGGGATAGTCGACGATATCAATCTCGATTTCGCCGTTAAACTTCCTTTGAAGGTCTCTGATAATGAGTTCCACGCTATCCTCAAAGTCGGGGTCTACAGCGCCCGCTGCGAAGTGTTCATTGTTGAGACCACTTGTTGACGAGCCGTCGGGATTTCGATATACCGGCTTGCGTCGGGGCGCGAAGATGAATGCTTTGATGTTCAAATGGTCAACATCTTCGTCTGCAGGGTTGCCAAACATAACACCCACGTCTCCATCCCGCTCATAATCGGTCAGCTGGTCGAGGCCACGTTCGTTGTACTGAAACATTTCTTCGTCTTCTCCAGTACCATGTCGCCACTGGTCTAGAGCTTGTGTCATTTCTTGTTCATCGTACATCGTCCTTTCCCAAAAGTAAGCAGCCCAGGCACCTCGATTGGATACCACAAGAACGACTGTGCAGCCCCAGAGTCCTTCGATGGCGAGAGTCTCGGGCTTGTCTTTGAAAAGCACAAATTTCGTGGATACTGGCAAGTCAAATCCTTCAGGCATTGCCTTAAGAAGTGTGGGCCTGAATGCTCCTGGTTCTGCTGGGAAGGGATTTTGCGACGCCAAGCGTGCTTGTCGGATTTGCGCTGGCATCCATTGGCGATAGCCACTGTGAGAATCGTGAATGTCTTGCCAGAACCCGTAGGCTGTATCCCCACGCTTCGCAACCGGCCGAGGAACACTTTGCTGCATGGGTTCATCGGAAGACTCTTGTGGCGGCTCTTGTGGTGGTATCAAGTGCAACGGCTGGCAACTACCGCAGGAATCTGGCTCGCATGTAGGTAGAGCCCTTGCGCTGGAGGTCTGCGTGGTTGCGACCGTGGTTGTGACTACTGAGTTGGCGACGCTACAACCTATGACGGTAGTGTATGCGCTGCTCAAGCATGTTGTCGTAGCTGTTGTTTGGGTGGCATTTCCAACAGCCACGGCTGGGATAAACCAGTCAGTGAATGTTCTTGTTTTGATAGAAGAAGTATCTCCGAACTTACCTTTAGATACGGAACAAAACACTGTCTGATGCGTGGCAGTGACAGTGACGGAACATGAGGAGGTAGTCTGGCTCGGACGTGGGCAGACCTTTCTGCGGGCAAGGCCCGGTTGGTCGGGATCCAAATCCATTTCGTCAGCAGCCCTTCCACCTCTCCATACCTGACCATCTTCCGGAACCCACTGGGATTCACCCTGTTGCCTCATGGTATCTGAGAAGATACGCCATTCAGCCCTTCCATTACATGACTCTGCTGGTTTGTACTGAACAATCGTTTTTCCGCGGGCCTTTTCACAGTTAACATCCTTCAGTATGTTGACTGTATCCTGAAGTGTCAAGTGATTCTGCTGATATCCCTTCCAATCTGACCAGAGAAGCATCGGTGTAGGATAGTCAAGAGTTGTAACCCAATGTGTAAGCCTGTTCTGGAACACACTGTTCAAGTCTTGTCTGATCCAGTCGACGTGGAGCGGGTATAATACCTGCATATTGAAGTGATTGGGATTCTGAAGAAAGCGATCTGTCCGTGGAGTACCGTCGTCGTTGTAGTAGCTATATCTCGGGCGTGGCGTGATGATGAAGGCCTGTATGTTGAGGCTCGCAATGTTTTCGTCATCATTGTTCTCGTCGCCGAAAATCACCCCATGGTCTCCGGCCCCTGGGTCGTTCATAAGGTTTTCGATACCGTACTCATTCCACTCTCGCATTGGATCACCCTCACCAGACCCGAGACGATGGTCAGCGAGCGCGGACCTGAAATCATTCAGGTTATTTCTTCCCATTAAAGCCTCCGAAAAGTAGCTTACCCAAGCACCTCTGTTAGAGACAACAACCACTGCCGTACAGCCCCAAAGTCCCTCAATGGCTAATGTCTCCACATTGTCTTTGAAAGATACCCATTGAGTTGAGACTTTGAAATTGTGGACTGGGTCCATATGGGAGGGCGGAACTCTCAAAAGCTTAGGTTTGTAGCCGCCAGGGCCTGGGTTAGGGTCCGTCGCGGCGTTGCGAGCTTCCCTGATCTGCTCTGGCATAAACTCGTCGTAACCAAGTTCGTAGTCCTCAGGGCCACGCCATTCGCCATTGGCAGGATCCCCTCGTTTCAGGAGCGGTAGAGGTGGTTGGCTAGTGGAGGTTGGGTTGCTGGTAGATGTCGCACTTGGCGCCGGACAATTGTCACCACAAACATCTGGGCCGCATGTCGGGTATGGCTTTTCGCTGCCAGTCCTTGTCGTGGTTACTGTGGTGACCGAGTTGAGCACGCCGCAGCCCGTAACCTCGGTCTGGATACTGCTGAGACACGTAGTAACGGCAGTGGCCTTTGCGTTCTCGCCTCCACGAATGTCTGGGAGATGGAAATGCATCAGAAAACTATTCCAACAGACTGAAAGGGTAAACCAAAGCGATGACTGACCTTGGGTCACAGAGCAATACACTGTCCGGTGGGTCGCAGTGACGGTGTCTGTGCAAGAAGAGCTCGATGTTGAAGACGACGCTGATGATTCTGAGGATGATTTGTCTTCTTCATCATCATCATCGTCGTCATCGTCGTCATCGTCGTTGCTGTCGTCTCCCCCTTTGTCTCCGCCGCCGTCTTCTCCCCCTTTCTTGCCATCGTCACTAGGGCAATTCCCGATCTCGAACCACAAAATCTTGATACAGAACTCAGGCAGCTTGAACTCTATGCTGATATTGGGAGGAAATCCTCCAGGAAAGCACCCGAGACATATGAATGGGATTAAGATAAAATCGTTGTCGTCTCCGCCGCCTTCTTTCGTCTTTTTCTCTTTCTTGACAATGACTGCGAAGCATTAGGCAATCAAACATGCATTGGCCAAAGGGCGGCGGATTCATCTCACCTGGCACAATCGTTGCTTCGGTGAATCGGCGTTGTAACGGTGAGGTCGGAAAGAGTCAGAAAGGACGCTCCGGGGGGTGTTGTGGTGATTGTAGATTCAGCTTTATCTGTCCAATGCGCCGAGGATGAAGTTGTAGTGGGAGGGTCAACCCAAGGAACGGTCCACTTGCTTCCAGGCACTTCGGTATTCGAAGGTTGAAGCAGAGAGGAAGCGGTGTTGTTTTGAGTGGCGGTCAGAGATGATGGAGGCGTTTGACTGGTAAGAGGTATTGAGAAGGTGTGAATCAGACTACTTGACGTCAATATTCGACTGGAGGCCGAGTCTTTTGAGGTCAATGTTCTGCTGATGTCGACGCTGGAACTTCCGATTGAAGTGATCTTTGTCGAGGCAGGTGATGTCCGATTACCTCTTGAGTGATTCTCAACGGGTTTCGACGACAAGGGAGTCTGGGAAGTTGATGGATCTGTGCTGTTGCTCCAGATAGGCCCTTTGGAAATGCTGATTGGAGACGAAGTGGCGGATAAAATGCCGTTTGTCGAATGCAGTGTTTCATTTCGCCGCGCGGTCTCAGCTGTGGCGGAGATCGTCGTACCTGGAGGTTGAGATATCTGCTAACTCGTCAGAAATTTCGAGATTCCACCGCCCTCTCAGTCACTTACTTGGGTGATGTTCTGGCTAGTGAACCCCTCTGACGAGCTACAGAAGCCTAATCCATCCAGACAGGTCGGGTGCGGGGCCGGGCTTGACGAGTTACTGAAATGACCAAAGGTGTGACTTTGAGCGTTGTGTTGGAAAGCCTCTGCGACATATAGAAACCACACAAATAGAACAGGAAGATGGGTGAACATGGTTTCCCAAAGTGATCAATGATGCCGGATGCGGCGATGGCTAGGCAGTCAGAGGTGACAGCATTGAAAATAGGGAAGCTAAAGGCTGGGTGAATGATAGCTGATATACTGATTGCGACGAATATCTCTTCGAAGTTTTGTGCACATGTCCGAGAGATAGTGTGCCTCCCTACGTTACGTATACTCACACTGCATGTCGTGAAGTTTTGGCGATGCACGTCGCCATGTAACCTTGCAGCGGTGTGAGGAGGTTTGGTTGGGAGCGTCAAATGCTGTACGTGCCTTGTTTTGAGTCTGAGGCATTTCTTGACTACTTCTTGACTACCAAGTCTTAGTTCCTTCAGCTAAGAAGCCACTTGTAGATTCCTCTCTGCCCTGCATGCGTTCTGCTCGTACAAACTCGCTTATGATGAATGGAAATGAGAGAATCTCGTTCGAGTGGTGCTGTGACGGACTACCTTACAGTGTGATTATGAAGTCAGGGGATGCTGGAGTTCATGGATCTGAAAGTGGAGTGTGCGCTCGACAGAAAACAAACAACTGCGAGCTATGTGAGATGGTGGTGAGCTCCATTCGTCGTGCCCAAACACCCCTTGCGGCCAGAAAGCCCGGTTTGCCTAAATTAAGCCGCGAGGCTTCCGCGAGGTCTGATGTAGGCCCAGCATACCTGAGCATACGGACAGCAAAGATGGTCCCGTCACAAGCTTGACAATGAGCTTATGCATGATTCCAATCCCTAAAGATGGACTGGAAGGGAAGAAAGGTAATTCTCAATATTGATCAATAGATGCCACTTAGATCTGGGTAGGAAACTTGGTGGCCTCAATCTCCTCAGCATACCTCAGACCAGCGGAATGTCGAACTTCATCCATGATTTCCATGGCCAAGATGCTCTCATCAAGCCCTAAGAAGCTTCCTTCTTTTCTACCTTCGATTAGAGCCCTTCCGGCATCATCAGCTTCCCAAAAGAGACCGTGACCTTCGCCCTCCGGATGAGGCGTTACGCCATACCCGTTGTACCATCCGCTGCCAACTCCCGGTCCCGGTTGCGGCCATTGCTTGTCTTCTACCGTGCCATCTTTCAGAACAAGTCTTGTGCGAGTGGGTCTGTAGGCAGGAGGAAACACTTGGACTTCTCCCTTGAGACCTTGAATCCGAATATTGGGCACGATCGCATCGTTTGCACCTGCTACAGCGTCGTTAGACAACCTCAAGGACGTTGCAACTGCATGTGCCGTGCCACCGTTTTCTTGGCTCCGAGGAAACTCCAGAAGAATAGTCGTCATTGCGTCAACACCTGTGGGCGCATACTTGGCAACGGCACTCTTGACGATGGGCCGTTGTCTAAAATCGGCCGCCTGCGTGTGGTACAGCGTCTGGAAAGCCCAAGTCAAACTGTAGATCCCTCCGTCGAGAAGGATTCCACCGGCAAGACGAGGGTTGCCCATGATGTGATCATCATCATCGAATAGCCCTGCTTATGGTAGGCTGTGTTTGGCCAAGACGCGTTCAACTGGTCCAAGTCGGCCCGAAGTGACCAACTCGCGAACGTAGATGGACAAAGGGAAGTACCGCGTCCACATCCCTTCCATCAGGAGGAGGTTCTTCTCCTTAGCCTTTGCGGCCAAAGCTCGAGCTTGCTTGGCGTTGACTGTGAACGCCTTCTCACAGAGGACATTCTTTCCGGCCTCCAAACACATCATGGCGTTCTGGTAGTGGTGCGAATGGGGCGTCGCGATGTAGATTACATCGACCCTGGGATCCTGAGCGAGCTCTGAATAAGACGAGTAGGCGGTTGCGTGCTCTGGCGCACCACATTCTCTTAGAAATGATTCCGCCCTCGATTTGGACGACGAAGATGCGGCAGCAACCAGTTCATGACGAATATCCTTCACATTGCGTGTGGCGGGGTCGACCGAAACATCCTTTCCGCTGTTAGAGAAGATTAGCATGCTATTCATTATCCAGTATACAGAAACTGGCTCACAATGCTTTTGCGATGCCTCCAGTGGCAATGATGCCCCAACGAATGATCTGTGGCTCGGGCATGGTCGCGTTCCGGAGTTAGGCTACTTCACTTGCAAAAGGCAGTTAGAAAGTCGAGGCTTGCTTTCACTTGTTCGGTCGTGGAATTTATGAAGACTAAACTTCAATCACGACGCCCAACATCCCAACTCTGACTAAGGTTGGCCCTTAGTGGATGGGGAAGGGCGTAAGGCGTGCTAATGATGTGTATGTAATAGGGCGCAGGGCGAGGTATGCCAACGACGAAACTACGCCCTAAGTGCATGCTGACATGACAGTCATTAAGAGTCAGGCTAGAGCCCATAACAAGTATCTGTAAGTATCGAAACAGGTTACTGATATCGCAGTTGTCACTGACCTGCAATGGGTCTCCCGACCGGCAAAAGCCAAAGTCTGGAACTTCAGACAAAACAAAAACCAATGGGCCCTAACCAGGGATCGAACCTGGGACCTCTCCCAGAATGGAGGAGTCGCAAAGACAACCCTAAGGGAGAATCATACCGCTAGACCATCAGGGCTTGTTGCACTGTTGAGCGCATCGTGAGATGTGGTGGATGCACGGTTGCGGGTGCAATTTCATTCATGGAGAAGGGGATGTTGATTGCGTGTTTGTGGAGTTGAAGCGGGTCGCGATAGGGTTGAGTTGTTTGAGCTTGGACGGGTTCAGTTGCTGGGTGGAGTACAACAGTAGTGGATCGTTAGAGAAGTTGCACGTAGAGATATTGGTGAGTGCTTGTGGCTCGTAAATCTCCAATCCACGGGATACAGCAGTGCTCACTTGATGAAGATTGAACGCCAGCAACTGACTGGCTTACCGGTCGGTCCTGGTGTGGTCGCTTGACGAATGGCTTGGCTAGGCAAATCAGCAGGATTCCATGGCAATGGACATCCACTAGATGAGGCGGCTAGAATGTGCCGCCAATACCATGTCCATTTGTAATAGACGAACATGTTGCATGCGACTTCAGCCAACATGATTGGTACTGTTCATGCACAGTTAGACGATGGAAGCGGCGGGGTCGGGTAGCATGCGTCGGATCAGGCTGAGGTTCTGGTCGTCGACTTCGGATTTCCGACAAGTTCTTCGACCCCTCAAACTCGAAAGGAACATCTCTGATCCCCGAGACTATCAAGTCGTTAGCGAATTGCTCCTAAGATGGAGGCCATAGGCATTGCTGCTAGCTTCATCGCCATCGGCCAAGCGTTGTTGGCCTGTCGCCATGTGGTAAACCTGCTTCAAGAAATCCCGAAAATCGGCAACGAGCTAGCATCACTCAACAACGAGGCAAGTTCAAAGAGGCGTTCGAGCGTGTTCTGTTACAACGGCACTCTTTGAAACCACTGTGACTAATGCGGAATATGTGTCACACAGATCGAAAGTCTCCGAGCTGCTGTGGAGGCAGCCAGCACGCAAGGAATGACATTCTACGACAACGAGATTGAAGGTCCGGACCTCCGGCTAGCCAGAGGCCAGATCACCCATATCGCAAACAAACTCGAGAAAGTTCGCCTGAAATGCACCCAGGTCAGAGAAAATGGCAAGATCAAGCCTAGAATGACGAGATGGTTTTTGATGCAAAAGGTGCTACAGCAGTGTCGCGACAAAGCTCGCGATGCCCGCTCAGCCCTTCAACTTGCGCTGGTTACCTTGAACTTGAAGGGCACAGTGTATGTATACTGCTGTTCACCAAACACGAGTTCGCTTGCAGACAGTTGAGGCTAACAAACGTTGACCAAAGACAAATGTCACTGCATGTTGAAAAGTTCACTTTGCGATCCGCTCGCTATCGCGATTCAGGGCCTGACTTGGACTGTGAAACCGACGCTTCGCAAGGAGATGATACCTTGTCCGGCGCTTCTGCCCTTGGAAGCGGGCTCAGTCATGAGCAATGTTCCGCCATTATAGTACAAGAAGTGGACACCAAAATGAAACAACTCTCACTGCTCTCTACGGATGGACGACCATCGGACGAGAAGAAAATAGTCGGAATGGACATGGTCGTTCTTGGAGCCAGACTCTCAGGTGCCGGTAGGTGTCCACAACCATGTCTCTGCCGCTGCCACAGCACTCGGCCTTCTGCAGTAAGATATCCTAGTTGGATCGGAACTATCATCGGTTCTCTATCTGTCACATACGATCAACGCCTACTTTTTGGAGGTAATAGCGAATGCACCGAGCTCTGCTGCAAAGGTAGAAAAAGGTCTTCAGCAACCTTCGAGTACCAGTTACCCGCTTGGCTATGCGCACGATTTGTCTCGTTCCAGGTTTATATAGACAGCTTCCGCGTATTGCGTTCTTCTTTGAGAATAGCTAGAGTGTTGCCTCTCAACGATATTACTATATTAAGTATAATAATGCACGACACAGAGGTGGTCAAGGGCTCGATGCGGGTGTATGGTCATCTATTTCCAGACGACCGTGACACTGAGGGATACGACATCATGTTGGTGGGTACCTACACGAGACTGTCAACATCCATTCGTTACCTCATACAACTAACAAAAGACTCTTTTTCAAGACAGTAATGGACTGGGCAAGGCCAAAAACACTAGAATTTCTGACAGAACTTTGGGCTGAGTGTTTACGCAAGGACACCTATCATCCGTGAGAGCCCATTATTCTGTGACTTGCCTCATCCAGCTGACGCCTCGCTTCCCGGTTGTTTAGAAACTGGTTCTTTGCCGCGAACCGTAATTTGGAGAAAGGTGATGTTCCAATCCGAGTGGGGGAGATTCTACGGCTTATAGCCTTTTGTGGAGACGACATCATTGATGCACCACAAACCGAGCTTCACGAAGCTGTTGATCTGGACGAACCTACAAGACCTCGGCATGACATTCAGAGCATTATAACCATGTATCCCTGGACTATCGATCAGTGGAATCGCGAGGGCCGTTCACCTTTGGCCCTAGCAGCTCATAACGGTAACCTTTATGCAGCAAGAGAACTTGTTCGTCTAGGGAGTAATATTCATCAATCGGACTACAAGGGAGTTACTCCCTTAATGATGGCCTCCTCAAATGGAAATGCCGACGTTGTGCGTTATTTACTAGATGCCGGTTGCTTGGTCAACGCAGCTTCGACATATGGAAAGACAGCATTACATTTTGCTGCGAATCCAGAAATCGAACCAGCAGAAGATCCGGAGGCTATTGTGCAAATATTGCTTTCTGCAGGAGCATCAGTCAACGAACAAGGTTCTCGGGGAACTACTGCTTTACACCATATGGGATTTAACGTTTATGGAAGGCTTACAAGACGTGCAGCAGTGGCCAGAATACGTCTGCTTCTGGAGGCTGGGGCCGATATCAATGCTATGAGCCACGACCGCACAGCAAGACCATTGAGCGGCGCTATCTGCTTCGATCAACCCGAGGTGGCGAAGTGTCTTATAGAGTTTGGCGCTCAGGTCACGGATCTATTCCAGGGAGAAAACCTGCTACACGCAACAGCACAAATTGCCCAGCTTGAACTACTACAGTGCCTCATAGACATGAAACTTCCTCTTATGAACGTATATCAGGAAGACGACTGGGGAACACACCTTGGGACGACTTTATCAGCGCTCTGTACACCCCAGAATGGAACTTGGGTTCTTGTCGAAGGCCTACTTCTCAAGAGCAAACTGCATTTTTTGCGCTATACAAGAAACTTCGAGATCGAAGCTTGGAACTTGACATCAGCAGACTACAGCGCATCCGCCAGCATCTCGAAGATGGTATTTACCACGGAGCTATAGCAGTCTTGCAGCCACTTACTAGTGAAAAGAGGGACTGGAAGCAATGGGGATCGTTGCGGACGTACGAGGCCATTAGTCTTCAGATTCGGGAGCGGATGATAGATGCAGCGCTCGAGTCAGTTGACGAGAACATTGAGGTATTGAAGTAGAAGGTCGAGGCGTCACCGTGGGATCAAGTGTCACAATGGGACCCATCCGAGACAGAGGATTCGGATGATCTGGAGGAATACACAGAGTCTGAATGGACCGGAACAGAGGACGATGCAGGAGGCGAATTGAATGAATCTGAGAACAACATACAAGAGCCTGCAAGCGACGACAACTGAGGTTGCGGATATCAGGATGACCGAAGGGCTATCGACCAAAAAAGAATAAGGATAAGGGCCTGTTATGCTGCTTAATATAACCTTCATTTAGTCCTGGGAGGATATCGGGATCTTGTTTCTGTGCAGTCCCTTTCCATGCGCTGTTGCATATTGGACTCACCTCCAGCGCAGTATGAGCCTTTCTTCAGGAATCCTATCCAACTTACACCGTCATGTATTCCCCTGGTGTGGTTGTGACTCAAATCGTTTTGGGCACTTGCCCATAGAACATCGAATAAGTCACGGCTTGTTATTCGGCTCACCTCCATGTAAGAAACTTTGTAGCGGTCAGCGAGCTCGACCGCGAACTGATTCGCGTCAGCATGCCATCGACGGAAGCAATCTCATGGTCTTGCATATTCTCAGTCAGTCCTGAAGTAGCCTTGAAATTTGTGGTATAGCATACGTATAACCCCCAAAGAGGGGCACCATTAAGTGGACCGGGTGACCTTCAAGCTCAGAGAGTCAGAATTCCGACAAAGTTGCACGGGAGTATGATCAAGAAAATTGGCTGCTGGTTCGCGTCGCATGGCTGCCGCGCGCTTAACCAGACTTAGCTATGACGGCAATCGACGAGTCCGCTCGGTGTTCTAGACTGAGCTCTGTTCCCGCTGAGCAAGGATGGCGGGTAGAGATGATCATTGGGCCACGACGTGAGAGTTGCAACCTTAACTGTTGAGAAACCTTCCGCGCGTCGGCTCCAACCGAAGGCAACCTCATTTGTGGGGAAATGCTTTAAATTTACTAGGAAATGCTGAGGTCTATAGTTCTCGAGACGTATGTACGATGCTTTAGGAATTCCAAACCAGACCCGATAAAGGAAACGCTCATGATGATGCCCACTTTCAGTACGGGCTCTCGGTGTATCCCACCCACCGCAATGCCGACACCGTTAATAAAGTATGTATCGATTACGAAAACGACGCCATGCGCGTATTCGCTGGATTATGCCTCGGAAATCCACTGTGTCTAGACGTGTCTCAACAGCGCACTCAAGAGCGCTTAGCGGGAGTGAGATAGACGTTAAGGGGGCCCTTCTCCCATAGCAGGTAAATCTTCTGCTTGCCGACCCAGTCGAGGCTATCGTCGGCAATCTTCATGTCAAAGTTGTAGAGCATGCGTGCGAGGATGATGCGCATCTCGACGTAAGCCAGGCTAAACGCGTATACGTGTTAGTCACCGTATTCCCAGTGGCCTGGCGCGTGGGAGATTACTCACTTTCTACCAATGCAGTTGCGGGGTCCGAGGTGGAAGGGCTGGAAAGCGTCCTTGTTGTCCTTAGCGAACGCCGGGTCGCCAAGCCATCTCTCGGGGTGGTAGCTCTTGGGGTCCACGAAGTTCTTCTCGGAGTAGTACATGGCCCATTGGTAGACGGAGACGGTAGTCTATAAAATGTCAGACAGAGCTTGTAGACGACGTGAGGATGAACTTACTCCCTCAGGAATGAACTCGTCGCAAATGGTGGCGCCTCCGGCGGGGACGACTCGGGGCAGGCCGATGGGCACAGGAGGGTACATGCGGAGAGCCTCCTCCAAGCAGGCAAGGAGGTAGGGCAGGTTGCTGGAAGATACAAAGTCGATCTCGCTCTCATCCTTGAAAGCGGAGCGAACCTCGTCGGTGAGCTTCTTCATCGCGATGGGGTTCGTCAAGAGGAAGTAGGTGACGCCGGAAAGGAGGGTGGCCGTGGTCTCGGAACCACCAATGATGAGAATACTGCTGTTGGCCTTCAACTTGGGGAAAGTCATGTTCTGTTGCGGCGTTAGCTATGAAGTGAGCATGGCAATAGAAGCGTCACTGACCCAGTCATCCTTCTTCCTCAACAAACCCTCAATAAGATCGGGTCGCTCGTGTGCGATGTCAATGCGGCGCTGCAGCTTGGCCGTAGTGAATTCCTCGTGCTTTTGTTGCTCGCGCTTGACACTCTCAGGGACCAAGGCCATCATGATAGTTCCGAGGAAGGGGTAGTGGGTAATGGTCTGGAGGACGGTGCCAACACGCGCCATCTGGAAAATTGCCTTCACCCAAGGGTGGTAGTCGGAGTTGTCCAAGCTGCCGAAAGCCTCGCCGAAAGCCAAGTCGCCGATGATGTCGAAGGTGGTGTAGTTGTACCAAGCAGCCAAGTCGAGAGCCTTAGCACCCTTGTCGCAATGTTCGTGAAGCCTTTGGAAGAGGAGGTCGATGTACTGCTTGATGATGGGCTGCTGGTCACGCATGCTGCGCTCGCTGAAACCGTGCGCCAGGGAGCGACGGAGGGCGGAGTGCTCCTCACGGCCGGAGTTGACGATATCGGAGGGGGCACCGGGAACGGCACGGTAGAACTTCTGCGACTTGTCCATCTCGGCGCCGCCGCTGGGGCGGTGACCCATAATGTCCTTCCATGCGCGGGAGTCGTGGAACGCAAGCTCGTCGGGGCCGATACGCACAACCGTTCCGTACTGTCTATGAAGGTCGAGCATATCGTAGGGCAAAGTACCCGTGCATAGCTTGTAGCAGAATGGAAGCCATGTTGCGCGCATCCAGAAGGGACCGGGGAATCTTCGGAGTGGGTGGAGGTAGAGGTTGTAGAACATATGCCCGAAGGTGTAGAGGAAGAACTGGTTTAAAGTTTGTTA